CTTTGGCTGCAGCTCACATCTTTGTCTCCCAGAAAGCAAGGTTATTGAAAGATCTATGCTCAGGCCGGGGAGATAGCTCAGTAGAATAAGTGTCTGCCTGGCAAGTGCAAGATCCTGAGTTCAGTTCCTGGTACCACAGGGGAAAAAAAAACAAAACAAAACAAAAACAAAAACAAAAAATGTTTATTCCTACTGTAACTACTGTATCCGACAGGTTTAACTAAGAACACATGCGGTGTCTGGGCCACCAGGCTGGTGTCTCTTCATCCCTGGTGGCCTCTCCACAGTGTTAATTACATTGTTTGTGCTGAAATCTGAGTTAGTCATGAATTTCTTAAAATAATTTAGCCATAAATACATGTATTCCTAAAGTAGTTTTGTTTGAGCTTTGCAAAATTTGTTCTTTAAATATTTTGGATACTAACGTTTTTCACCTTTTTAATGGTAGCTATAATAAAATGGAACTTACTCTGCTATCAAAAAAATAAAATAAAAATAAAATGTCTAACCCTCCACAAATATCACTGTATTTCTTACTATAGCTTTATAATACATCTTAAAATCTAAGAGGGCCTATTTTACCCTGTTATTATTAGGCCTTTGTTCTTCTATAGAGAATGTTAGGTCTATGTACCAGTTGCTAAGAAAAAACATAAAGGATTTTGTTTTGAATTTTATTGTATTTTCAAAATAATTTTGGCCTGGGGGGAAGGAGATGAGAGTGCCCCAAGGTGGTATTTCCCATCCCCTGTCCTAAAGTCAGTAAAAACAAATCCACACACAATAATAATAACCATTTTGGGGGAATGGCTTTTCATAGTCATTGTTCTTAGTCATGAAGAGGATCATTCTTCATTTACTTGCATGAACTATTCATCATTCACTCATATTTTGTAGTTCCCAAATCCTGGCACAGTTTCTCCCCAGAGATATCATCCAGACTTCTGATCTTATTATGAGTGGTATTATTTTATTTTGCAATTAGAATTGGATATTATTATTTTATAGGTTTTTATACATTGGTCTTATAGACCTAACTTTTTAAATTACTTCCTTTCTTTTTTGAGACTGGGTCTCGCTATATAGTTCTGGATGGACTTAAACTAATTGTGTAGCTCAGACTGGCTTAGAAATTAAAGCAACCCTCCTGCCTCAGCTTCCTGAGTGCTGGGATTACAGGCTGGCCCAGCTACAGCTTTCTTGAACTTTTTATTAAACACACTTTTTTTTTGGAAAAATGAAGGTGAGTGAGCCAAAAATAAACCTTTTTTTTTTTTAAAGTAGGCAAACACATCTAGCAACATGAGAAATTTAATTTTACTGTTTCCAGTTTTTATTCACTTATTAAATTTACTAGAGGATAAACTGTTTTCAAGGTTTTTTTTTAATGTAGGAGTTTACATCATCTGTAAAACTTATTATCATTGGATTGTTTTATTTTTGTGAATATGGTAAAACTGATGTACATATATTATAAAGCATCTCTGTAGTTTCATGATACATTTCCAGATTATTAATATGGTTGAAAATATTTTCACATTTCTTAGCCATCTGGATTTCCTTTCATATGAAGTGTTATATAGTCAAATTGTTCAAAAGCTGATTATCTCTCCCCGAGTCATAAGAATCAATTTAGTATCACAATACTAATTTTTGCTTGTTTTGTGACCAGTTATAAGTGCTGCAAATATGTTCTTCTGGGGGGTGCTTTATATTTCGATCCTTTAGGTAAGACTATGGATGCTTATTACTGTTCCTGTTAGTTTTGCTATACTTTCTAAAAATGTTCCAAGTAAAAATAAAAATAAAATGGGTTAACACATTAGCCAAAAAGATAGCAAAAAAAGTAGAGAATTTTAGGCAGAAAAAGTGAAAATAAAAACACCATGAAATGAAATACAAGAGGGGAAAAGTAAGGAAATCACTGTTGGCTAACAGATCAATTTAAATTTTTTATTATATTTAAAATTGCTATTAAATATCATTATATGATAACATTCAGGTCAATGCATTCACTAAATGAAAATAACTTAGTATTTAATAATGAAAACAATAAAAATAAACTTCAAGCAATATAAAAAGCATTTAAATATGGTGCTATTTTTCAACATATTAAATTTCATTGTATTTAATACATTATTTACATAAGTAAAACACATAATCAAGCACTACAGTGATAAAACTTTGGCTTATAAGAGCATCAGGTACAAGACAGTCTTTTTTTTTTTTTTATGTATTTGGTATAGGGTCTCACTAAACAGCTTGGACTCACAGTGATCCTTATGTTTTCAGCCTCCCCAGAGCTGGCGGTACGCCACCCCACCTGGACTTGGTCGCCTGCTCAGCACACCCTGGGGGCAGGGCCACAGTGTGTGGGACTGGGGAGCGAACCGTGGTCCCTGAGCTTACCAAAGCAGGAGCTTAGTTAGCAGAACTACCTCCCCGGCCCCACAAGACAGTCTTGCTACAAGCATTAACCTAATTTTAAACAATCTAATAATTAAAAGTCAAGTTTACTAGTTTACTAGATGGACGTGGTGGGGCATGTATGTAATCCTAACTCCTTGGGAGGCTGAGGTAGGAGGATTTAAAATTTAAGATCAGCCTGGATAACTTAGCATGGCCTGTCTCAAGTACATAAGGGCTCAGGATGTATACAGCTCAGGGGCAGAATGCGTGCCCAGCATCCACAAGGCCTGGGTTCAATCCATAGAACAAGAATTGAAATAGTCAAGTTATCAACTTGGCCAAAGGCTATTATAAGATCCTAATCAAGCTATCCCTCAAACGCTACTGGCTACTGCCTTGTAATGGCAAATAAGTTTAAAATATGAAAAGCACAAAAATTTTAAAAAATTGAGTTCCACAAAGCAGTAAAACAATGATCCCAATTAAATCATATTTTTATTTTATTTATTTTTTGTGGCACCAGGGATTGAACTCAGGACCCTGTACTTGCCAGGCAAGCACTTATTCTACTGAGCTATCCCCCTGGCCCCCTAAACCATATTTTTAGATAAGAATACATTGAGAGTGCAAAAATATTGAGAAACCACTTAACATAAGCACCACTGTTTTCTTTTACAAATATTAATAAAAACATCACAGAAATGCAACCATGATTTATTTATTCATTTATTTATTTGATACAGAGTTTCACTATGCAGTTCAGACTCATAGTGATCCTCCAGTCTCAGCCCCCCCAGTGCTGGGACCAGGTATACCTGGATCAAATTTGGGTCCTTGAGCTTGCCAGGCAGGTGCTTAGACTGCTGAGATATCTCCTCAGCCAAAGGTTTTAATACACAATAATCAACTCAATTGCACATTTTGCTCTTGAGGATTAGAATGGAAATAAAATGACTACACAATTTTTCTTATTTCACAGGTTTGTGAAAATTACAAACACAATCGTCAAGAAATGAAACAAGGGCCATGGAGATAGCTCAGGGGTCTAAGTGCCTGCCTAGGCAAGTGCAAGGACCAGGGTTCAATCTCTGGTACCACATGTCGTGCTGGCTCTGCCCCAGGGATGCTGAGCTGGCAACCAAGACTGCATGTTGTGGTGCACCCCGGTAATCCCACCTCTGGGGAGGCTGAGACATGAGGATCACCAGAGTCCAAGCTGTGTAGTGAGACCCTCTACCAAATACATAAATTTTTTTTAAAAAATGAAAAATGAAACAATGCTATTAGAAGTTCTACATTAAAGGGGGGGGGCAGGCCAGACAGCTCAGCAGATTATAGCACCTGCTTTGGCAGATGCAGGGACTTGTTTGATTTTGGGCACCACATGCCATGCCAGCACCACCCCCAGGGTGCACTGAGAGGGCGACTAAGACTGGGCATGGTGGCATACGCCTGTAATACTAGAGCTTGGGAGGCTAAAAACAGGAAGATCACTACGAGTCTGATTTGTGTAGTAGGATTCTGTACTAAATACTTAAAAATAAATAAATTTTTAAAAATTACTTTCAGTCTTAGACTATTTTAAAAAAGTGAACCACGTGCTTATTCATAAAGTAACTTTAAATAAGAAAAACAAAAATGAGCTTAATATTCTTTTTATTTTTTTTTTATTTTAGGGAAGGGTCTACAGGGTGTTCAGGGTCTTACTACTAGATTGGACTCGTAGTGATCCGTCTGTTTACAGCCTCCCAAGAGCTGGGATTAAAGGCACACGTCACCACGCCCAGTCTAATGAGCTTAATATTCTAAGCAGAAATCCTTCTCCTGGGCTGGGGAGATAGCTCAGTAGAATAAGTGCTTGCCTGGTAAGTACAAGGTCCTGAGTTAAATCCCCAGTCCTCCCCTCAAAAAAAAAAATCCTCCCACAGATAACAGTGTGACATTATTTTCCTGCAGGTAACCACACATGTTAGTTCTGTGACACTAATATTCTTCACAGAACTCATAATAAATTTTAACTAAGAATGTTCATGAACTATCTGAAGACACAGGACCAAATATAGCAGTTCAACATCAATCAAGTGGTTAGTAAACACTTAACAAATATGTTTATATTTACTATGATAAGAAAATAACATTCTGATTCCATTTATTTTCTTTTCAAAAATGATCTCTTAGGCTGGAAAATAGCTCGATGGCATAAGGGCCTGCCTGACAAGGCAAGGTTCTGAGCTTGACCCCCAGTACCCCATGCTGTGCCAACCCCGCAGGATGTAATGGCACATGCCTATAATCCCAGTGCTGGGGAGGCTGAGACAGGAGGATCACTATGAATCCAAACTGGCTAGCGAGACCCTATATCAAAACACACAAACAAAGAAATAGCTCTTGCAGGATTGATTTGTAATTGATGTATAATGGAGATAAAATTTTCATCATTTTAAATAGATGGTATTAAGAAGTAAATTAATATCTATTTATTGGGGAGGGATTATAGGAGTTGCCTTTCTTAAATAAATCTATACAGTTAAAATAAAGAAGAGTAAATTCATTGATTATAAAAATAACAAGTTTCAATGATGATTTTAAAAGTATTCAAAATTCATTTAAAAAATATATCAAGGGTATGTCTCGGATTGTTTGGCTTTATTTTCTTTGATGTTGAATGCTTCGTCATCAGTTTTGGCCTGGAATGAAGAAGAATACAAAATTAAATGCAGGAGATTTTTTTCTTTTACTATTATCTAAAGAGAATACAAAGTAGTAAAAAAAAAAAAAATTAAAAATGACTAGAAATGATACAGAGCTTCACCAAACAAAACAAAAGGAATTTGACAGTGGCTGTTGTAGCGCATAGTGTTGTCTTCACATTGGTTGTTCAGATTACCAGATATAAGCATGAAAAATTGGTTTTAAAGGTTTTAAGAAATTAAAAAAGAAAAGAAAAACATTAAGCGTCAACTGCTCCCTTCTGTAGATCAGCAGAAACCGGAAGTAGAATTATCTAAGCCATTGTACATACACACAAAAATATCCCCCCATCTTTTTCCTCACCCCAGTTTTTCCTTCCCTTTGAAGATTCTTTCCCTTTCACAGTATCTATTATACCTTTCAGATTTTAAAATGCAGGAGATTTTAAAAAATAATTTTGCAAGTAATTGATTTGATTTTCATTTGTGTATTTGGTACAGGGTCCCACCACACAGATCAGACTCATGGTGATCCTTCTGTTTTCAGCCTCTCTAGCACTGGGATTACAGGCATGCACCACCACGCCTGGACTCTGTCGCCAGCTCAGCGTGCCCCGGGGGCAGGGCCAGCATGGCATGCGGGACCCAGGATCAGATCCTGGTCCCTGTGCTTGCCAAAGCAGGTGCTTTGTCTGCTGAGCTATCTTGCTGGCCCAAATAACTGATTTTTAAAATCTTACTTTAACGATTTATAAAAGCAAAATTTCACATCTCCTAAAAATGAGATCCCAAAACATACCAGTTTCCAAGCTAGCACTGCTAAAGCTAAATTAGTCCTACCTCTTTGTTTTTGCTACAGTCTTCTGTACTTTGCTTGAGGTACCTTTGGAGGTAAGAAAAGTAAAACAATTTTATAGTGAGCACATGAAATAACTGAAAGGCTTTATGCAAGTTTAAAGTTAAGTTTTCTTTGTAATTTACTAGTAAGCACACTTAATTCAACATTTTGGAATGTGAGTGTAACAGTACCAAAAAACAAGTCTGAGAAGCTCTCCAGTTGCATAAATATAATGATTTTGCCATGGAGCCTTGGGAAATGTTCTCCGAAGAACTTTTTTAAATTTTTTTTTTGCGGTACTGGCAATTGAACTCAGGACCCTGCGCTTCCCAGGCAGGCACTTATTCTACTGAGCTATCTCCCTGGCCCATTCTTTTCTAATTAAAACCCTCAGCTCCTTAAACCTGTGAACTCATTCTGTATTAAATTAAACCCAAACTGGTGTGGTTTTTTTTTTACATTCTCAGAAACTACTGGCTTGAGGTATTTTAACTCATCATTAAGTAATTAACATCTTCCTAAATAGCAACATATACAAACTACCTTTTTAATAGTATGCATCTTAGATTTAGCAATCTCATTGATAAAATACATTCTTAAAAAATTAATTTAGTAAACTATATTCTTAGAAAACTGTTCTTCATGACTGCAAACTCACCAGTACTTCTGGAGTTTTCCTTGGCTTGGTTGACTAGATTAACTCTATCATTTCTCAGTTCTTGGATAATGCCTTTATTTAAACAAACATCCACATGCTTGTTGAACTGGGTAAGGTCTGAAGTCTTTTGTTCTAGATTACAAACAGGACAAACTAGGGTGTGGGCAGCTGCCACTTTAAATGCAAAAGACTGGTGGGAGTCTTGCCCAGTTAATGACCCAACATCTGCATTTTCTAGAGAAACAGCCCCAGTAGACCTGGTGGGAAAGCCAGAAGGCTCCTCTTCGCTGTGTTTGTTCCTTAAAGGTTCCACACTTCCTGGTTCTGAGGAGCTCTCTCTAGTCTCTACCACACCAACACAATCTTCTGAAGTGACTTCTACATTTTTCTGATGAGTCTCAAAATCTTGCTTCTCCCAAAGTGAAAAAGAATGATGTGCGTTTTCCTTCTGGTTACTATCAGCAGAGAAAACATATGAACACGTGAACACCTTAGCGTTTTCACTGACTGAAGGGCCATCAAGACACGCATCCACATGTTTATTAAAGGCTTCCAGACTGATGCTTCCTGGATCCCTGAAGCAAACAGGACAAGTAAACCTCTGATAGCTCTCCGAACTCTTTGATGTTTCTAAATTCTCATGAGTCTCCTTTATAACTTGGAATGGCTGTGGTGTCTGTAAATTTTGTCTATCCACAGCTTCACAGTGAGGTGTGTCCTGGTGGCTCCATTTCATTTCTGATCGTTTCTTATCAAAAAAGCTCTTCTCATGAGACACTTTTAGAGGTTTTACAAACTGATCTTTATCAGTTTTCTCAACTCTATGCCCAGTGGCTGACGAAGTCTGGCTCCCAGCCTGTAAGAAGCCAATGATGCTCCTTTGTTGGTGTTTTCGGTCTTCTTCACTGGGAAAACTAGATACCCGAACACCTAAATAAAACCAATGACAATTAATCCCTTGTAAAGTCAACAAAGCCAATTCAATCCCCATGAGTAAAACCATTTTACATGACACTGTTATGACACAGGTACAAAAAGCTAGGTAGAGAGAATAAGGCAACACTAAAGACAGATATAGATTTGTTTTTCCTTGCTGTGCCGGGAATCTAAGCAGCACATTGTGCATGCTAGGTATGTGCCCTACAATCAGCTATACTCATAGCCCAATAGTTTCTTTTCTTTTCTTTTTTTTAATGTTGCCTCTATTTATTTATTTTTTTTATTTTTTGGCAGAACCGGGAATTGAACTCAGGCCCTTGCCAGGCAGGCACTTATTCTACTGAGCCATCTCCCAGGCCACCCAATATTTGCTTAATTAAAGAATGCTTTTAACTAGGTATGATAGCACAAGCCTGTAACTCTAGCACTCTAGGAGGTTGAAGCAGGAGTTTCACAAGTCCAAAGATAGCCCTGATAACTGAGCAGCTTAATGGATCTTGTCACACACACACACACACACACACACACACACACACACACACACACAGGCTGGAGTATGGCTCAGTGTGAAGGCCCTGGGTTCAATCTTCTGTGCTCAGGAAGGGCAGGAGAAGACTTTTCCAGAGCCCACTGTATGAACAGAACTTTGCTTTCTTTTATAAAACTGGGTGTCATGAAATATAACCATTCTACTGGAGTTGGCATTGTTATAGAGCTTTAAATTTGCATAAGGCGTACAATGCCATTAAAGACAAAATACAACTAATGGGAATTAGTTATAGACTCTTTAGCTTTTGTTTTTTAAACAGTTTTGCTTTTTAAAGAGCAATTTTAGGCTCACAGTAAATCTGAGTAGACGGCTCAGAGACTTTCCACGCATGCTCTGCTTCCGCATGCACACAGCCTCCCTCCTGTCAACATCCTGCACTGAAACGGCACATGGGTCACACGGATGCACCTCTGCTGACACAATACTAGTGTCAAAAGTGCACAGCTTACAGGAGAGTTCACTTTTGCACATTCCTGGCGTTTAGACAAATTGATAATGACATGCGTTCACCATTACAGAATCATACAAAATAGTAACATCACTGCCTAAAAATCTGCTGTGCTTGCTCACTTCTTTCCTTCAACCTAAACAACCCATTTTCTGTTTTTGTGAGACAGGGTCTCATCATGTAATTCAGGCTGGCCTTGGACTCACTGTGCAGCCCAGGATGGCCTCAAACCTGTGGCAATCTTTCTGCCTCAGCTCTCTGAGTGCTGAGATTACAGGTATGTGCCACCATGCCTGGCCCCTGATATTTTTATTGTCTCTATTGTTTTGCCTTTTGGGGAACACCTTACCTTGGTTCAGAAACTCAGTTCTCTCCACAAACAGGATGAGAACAAAATCTAATTTTCCCCTACAGTCAACACTGAACCTAACTACTGAATGTGGTTTGGTTCCAACCAACTTGGTTTGTGACTAGAATGGTAGAATTGAGTTTGTGAACCGAGGTATCACTGTAGTTGGACTCATATGCATGTAGCCTTGTCAGATTGGCTTCGTTACCTTAACATCATACATTGAAGTTTCCTCCATGGCTTAATGGCTCATTTATTTTATGTCATGTATATTATTCTGTGGTCTGAAGGTAAAATAGCCCGTTCATTTACTGAAGGATATCTTGGTTGCTCCCAAGCTTCTACAAACACATGCTTTTGTCTCTTTTGTCACTTTATTCTAGAGGTTTCACTGTGTGCTACCTTCCATATGTGAAAGTATGAGTAATGACCAAATCTTAGCAGTAAAGTAGGCATCTGGAGTGCTTACCTACAGCATGTAAGTTCTCTCACACAGTCCGTTTTGGAAACATGGTTTATTTGTTTATTTTTACCATGCAGTGGCTAGAGACACAGTTTCCTAGTGTTATAATCTTTTGTCTGTAATTCGGAAATGCAAAGTTCTGGAAATCATGACCAACAAGTGACAAATGATGAATGAATTAATGTGACACTCTTTAGAGTCTTTATAGGCTAAACTTGGTTTTGCTATACAAATATTAATATTTTTGATCAGGAGGTGCTGATCCAGATTGCTTTTTTTTTTTTCAATGTATTTGGTACAGGGTCTACTACACAGCTCAGACTTGCAGTGATCCTCCTGTTTTCAGCCTCCCTAGTACTGGGGTTACAGGCATGCACCACCATGCTTGGACTCAGTAGCCGGGTGATGGTGATCTGGGGCAGGACCAGCAAGACATGTGATGCCGCGGATCAAATCCTGGTCCCTGCACTTGACTAAGCAGATGATTAATCCGCTGAGCTATCCTGCTGGCCCCAGATTCCCAGATTATGTGCTTTGTGAAACGTGAAAAATTTTGAATTTTGGAACATATCTCGTCCCAAGGATTTCAGAACATAACAAGGGAGGAAAACTAATTGGCTTATACCAGAAAAGCTAATAATCTGTTTCACATGTGTCATTCTAAGAATGAAGACAAATGGCAGCAGTACAGCAGAAGTAAGTAATAAGTTTAAGAAGTAAAATTGAGCTCAGAATATTTCTAAGACTAAGTCTTTGGGAAAAATGTAACAGATTTATGGAAATATAAGAAGTCATACCCATAAGTCTCAATCTTAAAGGATACGGAAAATCAGCATCGATTTCTGTTCTGAGCAACTCCTTGGCAATGGCAAATATTTCTTCTGCAGTAGAAACAACAGCTGAAACTGTAGATGCACGAGTTTTTACTTCAAAATTCACATTCTTCAGCTTAATGGTAACAGTTCGACCCTATAAAATACAAAATATATCATTATATAAGTTTTCTAATGTCTAGAAAAGTTATTTATAGGTTGGAAAAAATCAGGAAAGCCTCTATGAACATATAAGAACGTGGAAATTTAATTGTTATAAAGAAAAAGTAAGATCCATAAGTAATGTAAAAACCCTGTTTTAGGTAATAATTATTATTCACATCCCTAACAAAATATAAAGGCAATCTTAATTGATCATTTTCTTTTTACTGAATCTCTTTTAGAGGTTGATTCAGTTCCTAAAAAGGCAGGATGAGAGAAATCTTTCTAAAGATGCCTCACTAAAAGGGCCTGAGGTTAGCTTACCATGTTGCGCTCTGACTACATCCAGCCATGATGCTAAACAATGTATCGAGGAGAGGTTCCTATGCAGTTAGGATAGTCTTGGCTGGGAATGAGGGAAAAGCTTCAGAAATAGATGGTGTCGGCTGCTGCACTTAACACTACCACCATCTGCCATTCACTCACAGATGGATAAATTCTGTATTACACACATTTTAATATCTCCTAGAGGTAGAACCTCATTCCTACCCTCTATCCCTTGGGTTAGACTCACTAACTCATTTCCAAAGGGAAAACCCCCCATAATTTCAAGGGGAGAAGCCTAGCAAACACTACCGTAATCCAGTGAGACAGGTAACACCACCCTCCACATGACTGTCACACACTTTCTGGCAGCGTATGATGAGAAGGACATCCCAGCTTTGTGGTATTCCTTCTAAAAGCTTATAGTCCTGTTCTAACTGTGAGAAAACCACAGACAAATATACACTGAGGAACGTTCTACAGGATACCTTGGCAGTAGTCCCCAAGACTGTCAAAGTCATGAAAAAGAAGACACGGAAACTGCCATAGACCAGAGACAATTAATGAGCTATGACAACTAAATGCAATATAATTCTTGGACTGAATCCTGGAACAGAGAGCAGTAATTAATAGCAAAACAAGTAAATCCAAATAGAGCCCAAAGATTAGTTACTAACAATACACAGGAATCATTTTTTTTTTTGACAATGCACTGAATGTTAATAATTGAGGAAATTGTTGTGAGGGGTATAATGGAAACCTCTACATTCCTTTTGTAACTTTTCTGTAAACCTATAATGATTCTAAAATTCAAAGATTATTTATTTTTAAGTAACTTTTTATGCTTGAGATACAATAAAGAAGGGCTGTAAGAAAATGTTTATAAGATACCCCACTCTCTGTAATAAAATTTTAATGCTTTTGCATTATATTTTGAAATAATACCATCTCTGACTTGAGTGTGTTGGGAAATATGCACTAAACACCAACAGTTTCAAGGGAAGATCATCTAACAGGAAGTACAAAGCATTCTAGGCTTTTGTTCCCAATGTGTTCCACAGCCTGGATTAGAGCCCTGAAACAAAATACCTATTCTGGAGGCTCACCATCTACCTGAGAAAAACATTACAGGACAATGGGGGCGGGATCTGAGAACTATGAGTACAGCTCTAGGGAAATCCTCTGCTTTTTTCCTCTGATGCCAGCATAAATGATTTTACACCCATTCAAATGTACTCAGTTTTGAAACCTAAGAATACCTTTAGTCCTTCTTTCTGGAGATCTTGAGCAAGTTCACTGCAAAGTTCCTGGCACAAACTGTACTGTTCTTCTGCTTTGTTTATCTCATTAAATGTCCTAGAAAGACAAGGATGATTTCACTGTACAAAGTAAACTATAACTCAGAACACTCCGGGAACAATATGGTACATGTAAATAGGCATTCAGATATAGTTTCTGCAGTGGAATGGAAATTTTCAGATGAACTAGAGATAATTAATTTAAAGATATATGGTTTATATATGTAATAGAAAACAATTTGGATAGGTTAACTGATCAGCAAAGGAGAAATTGTATGCTGTTGCTCTCTCTACAATATTTTTTAAAACAATGGTTAAATTCACCAGCACACAGTGGTAATACTGCTAGAACTTATAACACTATAGATTATCTTAAGAAAATGACAAATGAGAACATCATTCCAGTTATTGCACATAAGTTTCCCCGACAGAAGTATCTCCAAGTAGATTGAAGGCACTGGCTCATTGTATGCAGGTTGCGTTGTCTAGTAGACAACTGGAAATAGAGGGCTGCTAAGAATGTACATGAATTCATCTCCAGAAGAATGTTGACAGACGTGGAGAGAGGATATTAACATCAGAGAGAAGGTGCAAGAGAGAGGAGTACAGGAGTCTTTCTTCTAGCCTTCCTAAGACTTCTCTGTTCACCCTAGAGGCAACCAATGCTGCCAGCCTTTTTTTTTCTAAATTGATAAACTTTGTTTTTTTTCTAAATTGATAATTTCACGAAGACACACATGGACAATGAACAAAATAATCCACACATTCTATGGTTTCTAAACATTCATGCACTGACTGCTTTGGGCATAGGATGTTGTTCTTTGAGAGTCAGAGAAAGTTTAGATGCCTGCTACCTGTGACTGCCCAAATTTTCTTCCTCTCTCCAGGAAGTTAGTCTTTCCAGAAGTCTTGCTGAATATTTTCTTTTTTGCCTCTCCCTGTTGCTTTCTTTTCTTTCTTTCTTTCTTTTTTTTTTGCGGTACCAGGGATTAAACTCAGGACCTTGTGCTTGCGAGGTAGGTGCTTATGCCGCTGAGCTATCTCCCTGGCCTGCTGTTTTATTTGATGGACTTTATGGTTGCACTATAGTCTGTTGAATCTCAAAGTTCTTGCTGACCAGGACACCCAATTGGATTTCACTTCTCTCAGTTTAGATCCAGCTGTGAGTTGCATGTTCTTCCGCTGCCAGTTTAAACCTTGAATATATACCAACTTCTGAAGTTTTTCTGTGCATGTTCAAACATATGAACTAGATTTTTGCTACGTGCTTCTCGGGCATCACATCCACACTGTGACATTAGTTCCAGGTTCTCAATTCGAAATGTTTGACGCTGGGCCATATAATTGTTTACGCATCCTTGCTATGCAGTGATATCATTTTTCCAACCTGAGCAAGGGGCTGGCAGCTCACATCCTTTCATACTGAGGAACTCAATTGGGTGTCACGCAACCAGTCTTTCAAATTAATTTCTCATTATGTCAGTTACAAAAGCAGGGTAGTCTGGGGCTGCTAAGTAGCTCAAGTAGTTCTTAGTCGGTTGGTGTCTGTGAATTTCCTCCTCTACGGAGCAGGGAAGCAGCCCCTTCCCATGCACCTGGCACTTGCTTCATAGCCTTGATCAAAACACTGCAGCGTAGCCACTACTCCTCTTGGGCCATCAACCGTGTGCCACCATTCCAGGGCTCATAGTCTTGCCTGTGTTTTCTGAGTCCAAACACAATCTGTCCTATGTAGGCCTCTGTTGCCAGCTTTTTTATTCTTATGAGTTTCTCCTGAAATAGTCCACCTTGTTATGGTTTGATAGAGTTTGAATGTGCCTTCCAGGGCTCATGTGTTGAAGTTTAATTCCCAGTGTGAGGTATTAATTGAGAGGGTTGAAACCATCTGACTTTTGAGAATGACTAGAATTAGAGAAGACCATCAGGGTGGGAGCCCATGGTGGAATTCTAGTGGCTTCAGAAGGAGAGGGAAAGAGGTCAGAAGACACACACTCTTGGTCTCTGTGTCTTGCAGGGTGTTGGCAGGCACTGCCCTGGAGGACTACAAAGGCCATCAATAGATGTGAGCCCTTTCACCTCCAGGCTAAAGAACACTTTTCTCTGTAAAGTTATCTAGCTTCAGCCATTTGGCTACAAAACAGAAACAGGTTAATATTTATGCATATACAGTATAAGCAAAAAAGAATCACTATCCCTCATTTTAAATTAAATAGTACATACAATATAAGATACATTATTTATTTTTCAATTAGCAATAATCGCACCTCGGATAAACCTCATTGGCTACGATACTGCCATTGCGCAAAGCTAAGATGGATACATTATTTAGTACCTTGATTTTTCTCAATTTATCTTGGTGAAGGTTCCCAATGAGTAATTTCATTTTATATGATTGTATAATATGCTAAATTAAAAATATAACATGATTTTAAAAACTCTTTATTCATGGATATGTAAGTTATTTTCAATCTTTTTGCCAGCCAAAAATGCAATGAGTAACCTGTGTACATGCAAAACGATATGGGATTGCATCTGTGGAATGAATTTCTAGAGAAAAATAACCAAGGGACCAAAGTGCTATACACATTCATCTCTGGTTTTGATTTGTCAGTGACTTTCCCTGTGATGAGCCAAATAATGGTCCCCAAAGATGCTGCTATCCTGATCTCAGAATCCTGTAAATCTAGGACTTGCATGGCTAAAGGAGCTTCACAGATAGGAATAAACAGTGATAGCTGATTAGCCTGGAGTATCCCAGATGCCCCATTCCCAGGGTATTTTGTTTTGTTTTTGGCGGAACTGGGGATTGAACTCAGGCCCTTACGCTTGCCAGGGAAGCGCTTTATTCATTCCACTGAGCCATTTCCCAGGCCCTCCAGGGTCTTTATGTGAAGGAAGCAGGAGGTCAGAGATGGAGAAAAGGATGCTGGTTCTGGGCCAAAGCATGCAAGCAACCCTTACTTAGATGTCCTTGGAAAAGAAATGATGAGTTCAATCCCTGGTACCACAACAACAACAACAAAAAGAAAGACATGAATTCTAGAGCCTGTGTTGTGGTTTGTGTCTAGGTGTCCCCCCAAAGCCTCATACAGTCTTGGGGCAGCTTCTGGAGTTTGTGATGGATTACTGTGGGTGTGGATGCTGCACCTGCCCTGGGGTGGGGAATTTGCATTACAATGTAAGGAGGCAAGAGAAGCTAGCTGCTTGAGCTGCTGCTACCTCTCCCTTGCCCTTGCTCTTTGCTGCCATCATGGAAGGTTGTTCTCTTCCTTGTGCTGCTCCGCCTTGAAGCCAGCGAAGTATGGACTGAAACCTCCAATAACTGTGAGCTAAATAAACCTTTTCTTCCTTCAATTTGGGTGTTGGGTATTTGTCCCAGCAACAAGAAAAGAGTAACTAAGACAGCTTGTAAAAGGAGAGCTGCTTGGCCAACAACTTCACATCAGGACTTAGACCTTCAGAATAATAAAGAATATATTCATGTCGGTTTAAGCCACTGAATTTGTAGCAATTTGTTACAACACCAATAAGAAAGGAGTATATGCACTTTTCCCCTTTTTCACTCCCATTGTTTTGCCAAAAGTATATCTGATAACACTGTTAAACTTCATCGTGAATGATGCTACCTTAGGGTGGCTTCAATATTTTTCTTTCACTACAAATGAAAATGGAAATATTTCTATGTATTTTTAAAGCCATTTAATTTCCTCCCGTGTTAGCTAATTAGATCTTCATTTCCTACTAGGAGAGCGGGTGCTTTCTTATTGATTATAAGAGTTCTTTACATACTAGAGTAGCTCTTTTCCTCAGCACTGGGGATTGAACCCACCTACACAAGACAGCTCTCTGTGTGATTATGAACTGCGTTCTCTTTCTCTTCTACTCCACACCAAATTTCACACACATGGAAAATATATTCTTGTACATCAAGTAGTGTTCTTAGTAATAAAAGATTAAAGGAGAAAAAGTGCATTAAATCAGATAATACTATCTCATGTCAAAGGGCCAATTTTTATCAAGGCCATTTATGGGGTTGACTTGTAAGTCACTCAGCTTCTCTGGTGAGAAACAATAAATAAATATGAACACAAGATCAGTAGTTGGTTGGGTAGCAGCTCGTCAGCATTTCGTGGAACTTTGCCACTTTGAAAAAATAATTGCAGGGTTTTTCAAAAGCAACAAGCTTTCCTCAAATTGAAAGGTTCCATTGACTAGATGTTCTCCCCATCAACTGAGGAATGGATTAAAAAAGATGTATTTTTACACACTAGAGTATTATTCAGCTATACAAAAAATAAATTTGAAGCTTTTATAGATAAATGGATGCAACTAGAGACCATACTTGTTAAGTGAATAAGTCAGAGCCATGGGCAAACATCGTATTGTCTCACTAATGTAAGAACCTGAAAGAGTAAATAATCTGAAAGTGGCATAGGCACTATGACAGGGAAAGAATCTGTTCAAA